TGGGGTGGGGTGGGGGCGGAGTTGTCGTCGCTCCCACCCCCACCCTCCCTCCCCGGGCACTGCCGGCGGCTTCTTAAGCCCTCGGACTAGCAGCGGCCTCCCACTCGCCTCCCACGTCAGTTTGTGTTCTGCGCGATGGCCTCCGCTCTGAGCTATGTCTCCAAGTTCAAGTCCTTCGTGATTTTGTTCGGCACCCCGATACTACTGCTGCCACTCATCATTCTGATTCCCGCCAAGGTCAGTTGCGTCTCCCAGCAGCCCAGCGGATCCCGGGCGCCGGCACCTAGCAGCGGGCACTGTAACTGAGCGCTGGGGGCGCACGGACCCCGGGAGGGTCCCAGCTCCCCTGGGCGCGCATCCTCGCTAGCCCCTGATGCCCGAGGCCAGGCGCCCCGCAATGAATCCCTCGGTGCACGGAGAGCCCCGAGCGCCGCGACCTTGGGGACACCGATCCCGGGGCGCAGGAACGGTCCTGGCGAGCACAGAAAACTCAAAGGGCGCACAGAACCTGGGCACAAAAACTGGGGGTCAACCCCGCGACATAGAATCCCCCCTGGGGCAGAACGGCGTCTCCCCAGGAAAATGCGCTCGGTTAGGACGGGGAGCCTGAGCCGCCCACTCTCCTCCTCTCCTCTGCCATCCCCTCTCCCGACTCTTCTCTCAGCAAGTGGGACTTCCAGGCTCTCGGTACCTACGCCAAAGGTTTATCAGCTAAGTGGGTCCTGAGTACTGCCGTCGACAAACACGCTGGCTCTCCTTGGGACCCTCATTTCCCCATCCATGCACCCTGTGTATTTCCAGCTCTGAACCCTGGAAGCCAATGCTGAGTCAAAAATCTCCGCTCTGGGCTGAACGGGTGGCCTGTTGCACTCGCTGCCCGCCGCGGCTGTGGCAGGAGGCGAGAGCCGTTCCCAGAGCTCACGCGTTGGGTGGCAGGACGCAGGGTGGCGAGGAAATCGCGTCTCAGCCTTGCCTCAGCCTCCTGTGCGGCCGGCGGGCCCCGCCGAGAATGAATGGCCTTGGCCGCAGGGTGGGGGCGGGGCCGGCGCCCTGGCCCGGGCTCCGCGGGGCTGTGTGCGGCCCCGTTTGGCAGGAGCCCGAGCGCTTTGAAGGCTTTTCTGGTTCGCTGGTTGCTCCTTCCTCCACATTCCCTCTTTCAGCCCTTTCACTCCCAGCCCAGACAGGAAACCTCCAGCTCTGCCCCCCTTCCCTATCTGGGGCAGGTTTAGGAAACAGAGGAGTTCTTGAGGGGAGGCTGAGAGCAGTCCTGGGGAAGGGTGGGGGACAGGCAAACCAACCCGCCAAAGAACTGGACTTCCACCATGCCCTCATCCTTGTGGCTTTAGTTGACCGCCTGTGTTCCCTAGCCTTGGTGTTCTCATCTGTGTAATGGGGCAGGGAGTGGGGAGCAGGGAGGAAGGAGCCTTACTTTAAGGTGAGAGGTGGGAGTGGGGAGCAGGGAGGAAGGAGCCTTTAGGGCTGAACACAAACTCCGGAGGGGTCTGGGACACCAGGTCCCATGGTGGTGGCCACTGAGTAAGTATCCTTATTAGTTTCTCTGTGAAGGAGATCCTGGCTGCTGAGTGGGAGGGAGGCGGGCAGGAGAGCTGTGATTTCACTTCTGCTGGTGGGGGAGTGTTGTTCCTGGGATAATTATAGTAGCTTGGTTGACCTTCCTGCCCCAGGAGAGTGAGACTTTACTGCCACATACACAGGTAGGCCCTGACCTGGGACATGAATCCAGGTGGGTGTGCATGAGAGAGAGAGTTTAACCTGGGGAGCAGAAGAGGGAGGAAGTAACTAGTCACTACTGAACATTGTTCCAAAGCTGCCTGCATACGCGTTCCCATTGGGAGCTCAGATGGACTTCTGCCTTCTTGGGTGTCCCCCACCCCCCGTTGTGCCTTTGTTTTGGTCACCATGAAAGAGCTCCCCTCCAGCCCCACCCTCCCCATGACCAGACCATTGTGCAAGGAAGCCTGTGGGTGAGTGGCAAGAGGGCAGAGCAACTGGTTAGGCAGTTGGGACCTTGGCCCCTTGGGCAGCATCACAGGGTCGGGGAGATGACTTGTGGGGCACACTGCACTTCCCCAGCCCCAGCCTCTCCTCCTGCTGGGCTGCTTGCTGCAATTCCTGGCCTCTGCCTGACTTCCCTCCTGGCCCATTGTTCCTGCTCCATGGCTCCTGCCTTTTCTCTGGATTCTCTGTTTTGATTAAATAAATGATACACTGATTATATGATCACTTATATTAATCAATTCATTTCCTCTACACACTCTCTCTCCCTCTCAACTCACTGCCGTGAGTCAATTCCTATGCATAGTGACTCTATAAGGCAGGGTAGCATGGCCTCTGTGGGTTTCTGAGCCTGTAACACACACACCCTGCACTCTAACTTGCATCATTCATTGCACAACGTGTCACAGACAACTTTATACATCAATAAACGCATGCGCAACAAACCATCGTTTTATTCATATACCTGTTCCGTATTCATTGAGCTCTATTGTGTGGTGGTTCAAGTCCACCCAGAGAAGGCTCAGAAGAAAGGCCTGGTGATCTACTTCTGAAAACAAAAAAGAAAGAAAGAAAGAAAGAAAAAATAGCCATTGCAAGCCTGATGGAGCGCACTCCTGCTCTGTGCTGACACTTGGGGGGCCACTGTGAGTCAGAATCCAGCTGTGCTGGGATGCTGAATGAAATCCCACTGTGCTTTTATCTCAGCTTCAATCGCTTTTTTCTCCCATATTCTCCGAAGCAGGGAAGTACTCTGAACGGACCCACCAGGAACTTGGCGCCTCTTGCAGGTAGATGCCACTGCCTTCTCCATGCTTAGCCACACCCCACCCACTCCCTCAGTTTTTCTAACTTCCCCTTCCTAGTCTGCTCTCTCCACTTTCCGGTGGCAGCCCTGCTGCCCTGGGGAAGGTCAGGGGTCCGGCCTGGCTCTCCTGTGCATCCCAGTGTGGCATGGAGGGGAGAGGCAGAGTTATCGTGTGTCTCGTGGTCTTTTCTAATGGCCTTGTGTGGTAACCCCAGCCTCTGCATGGAAATGGATGGCACCTGTTACTTTTAAATTAGGAACCTGATTGGGTGTTTCTAAGCTCCTATGATTGAAAAAGAAAATTACTGGGTGCCATAAATTACGAGTCCTTTGTTGCTGTCAGGTCAGCCCTCAGTCACACATCTTTTTTTCTTTTAATTTAAATTTTTAATTGTTTTATTAGGGGCTCATACAACTCTTATCACAATCCATACACACATCAATTGTGTAAAGCACATTTGTACATCATT